ACAATCGTACCTTCTCCTTGTGAAGCTTATGACTGATTTATGAAATTTTAGAGACATTATGATAATGTCCGAACAGTTGATTTTATGAGAATTGTTTTTAACTTTTATGACAATATTGAAAGGAAGAAATTAATTGGTTTACAAATAAGGGGTGAATCTTTCCACTGTCTGCTACAATTTAAGTGGCTATTAAATTGAACTACTGCTATTTAATTTTTAGTTAACTGTTTCAATAGTAGGAATTGAATGATTATGTGAAACCTACGCGATTGTAGCATTCCCGGATATGTACTGTTTCTGAGGAACGTGAGTACTTCACTGAGCTGATTAATTATTGGGGGAAGGATGATTGCCACTGAAGGATGATTGACACACCGGGTGAAGGATGATTGCCGCTTAATTTCAAACTAATCGATCATTCAAACATTTCACACACTATTTCTAGCCATTATTTCTGTCATGCTGTAGAACCAGCTAGAGAAATTGTACTCACTTTAGGAACAGTGGTAATCCTAACGTGTTTTAGCAGCTACTTCTGTCCAAACAACCTATGTAATTATGAAAATTTACGACTAAATCGTTTAATGTTATATTTTTTTTCTTGATCAAGCACTAATCTACTCTGAACCGTCTGAAACTACCTAGATTCAAAAGAATTGTTTATCTTTTTTTGTGAACTAGCTTTAATCTACTCTGAACCATTTGCAGCTACTAGATTGAATATCTTAGATAATATTCGTATGATTTTCTAGATTACATTTTCAACGATTATGTTTTCAATGAATATCTACATCTTTTATAGCTCTGTGGACACGATAATACGGAAACTTGCAATTTCTTTGAAGAGTACTTTCCACCCCAAGATTCTGTTCAGTACCTCAACAAACATACAGCGCGTATGATGATACCATCAGCTCTAACCGATCTTCGTTTCCGCAAATCATCCGTGTTTTCTCGATATTCGGCTTATCAAATATTCCTCTTACAATTTCCCACTATAGAATTGCAAACAAACCAAATATAACAAATTCTCATCTAAAAATAATCCTAAACACTAGACTAAAGCGTCAGTTACGATAATTTTATTTTCCTTCCATCGCTGTATCGATCTTCTCAAAGTCGAAGTCTGGTTCCCTGGCAGGTAATAAATTACTAAACCGGTTTTGTATTAAATCATATAATTAATAAATTACGAAGATAGGCAGTTTTCGATCGACAGGCGGAACACGGCCACGGCCACTATGTTAATCCTTTAACAGTCACATTCATCTATATCCTACATATAAAATTTTAACTGAAATCGTAAACAAACGCAGAATTAAGACTAATAATCAATGATTTATCGCTAATTATTTGGAATAGTACAAATATTACTTTGCATATGAAATATAATTTGTCATTCAAGCTGCTATATTTTGATTCTGGATCCACTGCGCGCCGCGTCGCTCTGCCCGAGTCTCATTCGGGATAAAATGTAGATGGGTTACATTGTAGTGATGGAACTGATACGATACATACATATATTGATAATACACAAATAACTCGATACCTAAATACTCCACGGGAAGTGTCGAAAGGCAACGAAGTCTGAGATATTCGGTATCAACATTCAATACTGATGCTTCTTGGACCGATATCAATTAAGGGGTCATGCTCAGTCAGGAGGCCAAAAAAAGAGTGTTTTTTGGGAATTTTTTTCTGGAAAACTATAAACCTTTTTTTAAAAAATGTGTTTATGTTTCAAAGATTGTACTTTCTAGATTATAAGGTAATTTTTTTATTTAAAAATATTGATTAGTAAATAAATGGTGAGCAATCTCCCGAATGTCTCTTCACAAAAAGTGGTCTGCCGTGATCACTGTAACTTCGTAACGGTTCATTTGAAATTAAACATTCAGTAAGATTTATGTAATGGAAGAACGAATCTTGTCCTTGAACGTGGGGTTTTTTGAAATATTGATTAGCAACAAAATAGCGGACGTTTTCCTGAAAAAGTGCGATTTTCACCTAAAAAATCACTCGTTTTTGGTCAATTAAAAAAAAAGTATGTAACGAACAAAAGAATCCTTCGTACAAGGACAAGTTTTTCTGCTTTGAAATAAGGCGCAAAAGGCTTCATGTAAATCGATACAGTAGTTTTCGAGAAATATTGATCACCGATTTGAAAAATGTAGTTTCGAGAAAAACGCGTTTAAAGTTTCAAGTCAAGCTTACACTTATATAAAATGTTCATTTGTTAACGCCTGTAACTCTGTCATTTTTAATTGGATTACCTTGAAACTTGCACAGAATATTCTCGAGATGTTGTACTTAAAGAAAATGTAGAAAGTGAAAATCGATTTTTCGAATATTTCTGACTGAGCATGACCCCTTAATATCAATTGTATAACAACCCTGTAGATATCGGTACTACGAGCAACAGCATCGAATTTTTCAGGTAGATACCTCATGAATACGTGCAGGAATTCCTAATTCGTGTATATGGTACTAGTATCGATACTTTCATGAAGTATATATCAAACATACGTTCATACGTTCGTAGAAATATCAAATAAATCCATACCGATATTTGCGAAGAAGTATCAAACAGTATCGATACTTTCGCATAAATAAGTATCGAAGGGATATCGATTATTTCTTATACCTACATAGGTCATTGAGATTACTCGATACCAGATCAAAATTTACGGTCAGGTATCGACAGCATCGAGCGGTACCCATACATTCGTAGAAATATCAAACAAGTATCGATACTTCCGTATAAGTATCAAGAGGGTATCAATACTTTCTGATACCTACATATGTCTTTGACATTATTCGATACCAAATCAAAATTTACGGTCGAGTATCAATAGCATCGAGGCGGTATCAGTCCCAACACTATAATATCGTCTGCAGTCGAAGGACGGAACCAGATTCTACAGGTAAACAAGCAAATCGAGGTATGCATAGACATGACTTTTGGGGGCCTCTGGGTGGCCAATATCCTCAAGGTCGAGAATATTCCGTTGTTATCTAAAAAACGCCGCGCGGTCACGTCACCGTCTGCACACGATACGACGCCCGTTTATAGCGATGATGTTTCGGGTGACGAGCGCGAAAACAATGTGCAGAGGAGAGAACGAAAGCTGTTCTCAAATCGCGGGTCCTTTTCTTTTCTTTCATCCGTCGACGATCCATCGGGGCTCGACGACAACGGATCCCGTATTTTAGACCCGATCGTGAATACGGTTTTATAACTCGAAAACCACCGGGGGGACTGTGTGGCTCTCCGAGCATAAAAGGTTGATTCATCCTCGATAAAATGACTGTGTATTTCTGTGAGTGCGGGGAAGCCAAGCAATCAAGGGAAAGCTTGTCGGTGGAGGGCATTCTTTTCGTTCGAAAAAGATGGAAAACTTATGACCTGTGATTATTATTTCCTCAGTCACGTGGAACGTAGCGAAATTTGTTATTAGGCTGGTGGGAAATAAATGGCCGATCGACATTCGTGTCTGTTGTGGCATAAACTGCTGCTCATTACGATTGAATTTGATACTGCAAATTCCGATCTTCGTTACTCTGAAAGAAATTAACGAATTGCATATAATATAGTAAACGACATAATCCTTCTAACTTCACAGAGAAACTCAAGTCACTTGGTCCAATTTTGAAAGAGTTGTTTTCTTTTAAAGGGTGTACGAATACTTTTTTTACCCACTGTATATAACATGCAAAATACATGTTGCTTTTCTAATGTTTACATTACGTAGATGCTGTTATACTGTCGCGCGATCTTGAAGATTCGCGCAGCGTTGTGCAATAATTCACCCGACAGTAGTTCACTCCGTAGTCGTGCTGTCGTACATACATATGTGTTTTTGAAAATGGCTTATGTGCCAATTGATGAGTACATGTTTACATAACTCATTGGAGCTGCAACTGACGAAAATGATACATTCCAACTTATAGAATAAGGTTTCGTTGAAAAATTAAATTTTTCTATTTAATTTCGTATTTTTCATTTAAACAAAATATATAAAAAATTCTAAATTTAAATAAGTAATTGTATATAATTAAACAAACAAAAAAGATTACTTTTTTACGATTTTACTCCACTTATGGAAAAAGGGCACATAAAACAATTTTTTTAAAATCGTAATAAAAAACAAATATTCAAACTGTGACCTTTGTTTTCAAAACGTTTGAATGACACTGTTGCTACACCTTAATGCAAAAAAATTTGTTTTAATTGCATTACTTTTCATTAACTTTTTCAATGTTTATGCCAAGTACACTCGTCATGAAAAGATGGTATTTTTTTGTTTAACCATAAGTATACTCACCCTTAAGCAACAAAAATTTACATTTGTTATTTAAAGTCAAGTTTAGGTAAAAAAAAAGTATTCGTAATTTTAACACATTTTAGAATATTTTAGGACTTAAAACGAAAACATACAAAGAAAAAAATCACTTCAAATAAAAAAGAAATATGCAGTACATAGTACGAGGGCTGTTTGATAAAGCAGTGACTTTTCTTTGACAATACATATAGTAGACATTCGTTTCCCGCGCCACCGTTATCTGCACGGAAGCCACGCCCCTTGCTCACACGTATTTCTCATAGCGTGCGCGTACCCTACTCTGTCGCCCAGCACGCCCAGGCCGAAACACATACGATGTCGCGTTTAACTCGCATATCACATCACGGAAAGCGCAGTGTATATAAAATACTGTTTTAATAATGTTCTTATTGGTGCAATGAATATTGGTGGCAATTTGATTGCTTCTTGTCTCGCGGATCACACGTAATGGGTAACAGATGCTAACCAAGCTAGACATTTACCACTAAAATATGTCACGAATTATTACCTTTTTAACATAATACCGTAATACTTTATTACGCAAAATGTTTGGAAGAATCGATTTATGTAATAAAAGTATTTTATTCCATAATATTTCAATATCATTAATAAAAATAACATAATTAACTTTGAAAACTTAGAAGATACTCTACCTACGAAAAGCTAGTTACTGCTAAGTAATAGCCCTCTTCATATTGAACAACTTCTGTCAATAAACTTTTCTGATATCTCTAAAAATAACGGAGATAATTAATGTAATCGTAAAGTGCGCATATTCAGCCCACCCTATATGTAGCTGCGTCACACGACTGATTGGCCGAGTGGTGGGGACAGTGCTCGGGTAACTGGTGTCCGATTCCTGCACGGTTCCTGGAATTCTGGTCCTCTACAGCCCCGACTAGCGCGGGAAACGAATGTCTACTGTAGATGGCATTCCAGTCGCAAGAGTAATTTTGTCATTTTATTAGAATTTATTTCAAATTTACAGCAAATTCATTTACATACTCTGCTTTTGTCGAGTATATTCGTCACAACGTAAAAATAATTAAGCACACAAGAGCACGTTTTCAAAATGAAAGAAAATACTTAAAGGGTTAAGTGATACTCTAGTGAAAACTTTCAAGTCGATTTTATTGAAATAGCGTTTTAACGTATGTGCCACTGTTCCAAACATCCTTCTGATATATACCATGGATTTTTTCAACGATATCCGTCGTTGCGAACTCAACTGGGCGTCCAGAGCGCGTTTCATCTTCAGTGGATCTTCAACCATCTTTAAACTCATTTATCCAGAAATAAATGTTTAAAAAAAATTTTTAATTTAAATTTTCTTGTTAATTTTTTAGAAAAAATTGGAAAGTTTATCGAACAAACTGAAAGAAACCAAACAACGTTGACGCTCATAGCAGACATGCGTAGAAGATATATGTATACTACCAAACGCATTGAAACCTAAGTTAGCACACTTTGATCTTAATTTTTATTTCGTTTGATCATTGACATATATTTTTTTTCTGTGCCATCATAATCTCCCTAAAAAGTTTATAATCACTTAATTTTTTATAAAAATATCATTTTTGTAAAACTTCTCAGTATCAACTACAGTTCCATAAGGCTTGTGTTAAAAAAAAAAATGTTTGGGTAAATATTTATAAACGGGGTCAAGGTCAACATTCTGAACAACTTTTCCTTATATAATACATATACCCGACGATCCGGCTTAGATTTTTAGATACATATTCGCAAAAAACTTTTGTGAAACTTAGATTACTATAGTATACTTCATGAATTTAAAATATTCGATATTCATGAATTAAATTGTCAGGAAAGAGTATTCGGAGTTGGTTGTGGGTAAGTACCTTTGGCGGGGAGAGCAGCTGCCCCTCCCCCAAAACAATAGACGAATTTTGTGAATTTTGTGAAAACCTCCCATTTGAATAAACTAAACGAAATTAAGTGATCATAACAGTTCACAGGTACAGAAAGTAAGAAGTAAACATGAAATTATGTAAACATATATCTAGGAAACGTATTCGTTCTGGGTTTTTGATAGCATCGATTGTCGGAGTCGATTAGACTTACGTAAGAGAGTGGCCGCTGTTACTGCCGGCTCTATATTAATCTTTTTAAATTTTTATTAGAAATTCTTAATTATACAGAAATTCGTCTATTGTTTGGGGGAAGGACGGCAGCCCTTCCTCAAGTGGTTCAGAATATTGACCTTGACAACATATGTCAAGGTCACGGTCATCGGAGCTGGGTCCCGCATTGTGCATAATTACCTTTTTAAGAATGTTCTGTTAAATTTTCAATAAAATTTATCATTATAATAATTTGCAATAAGCCACCTTAAGAACTAGAACGACGAATTTCAAAGACTCAAGATTCACCAAATAATCCGGCAACACCCTATGTATATCCGTCTGTCCGGCTGATCTTCATGATCCCTATTTGACTTTCACTTTCTCTGATTCGTCCTGCCGTTTCACAGAGAGAAAGAGACAGTGGATCCATGACCCGCACCGTTCTCAACCCCCTGTCATCGTCCAGTAGTTTCGACCTGGAACGCCCTCCCGCTTTCGTCAAGGACTCGAGACTTCAGACCCGCCGCGCGCGACTGGGCTGTAGAAGGGGTGTTGGTAGCGCACTGCGTGGCTGCGAGTGGGAAAGGTACTTTCTCGTGGTGGTGTTCACCGGATCGATACTCCCGCCGGTCTCTACCCGTTCGGTGGATGACGAGAAGGGTATACCCTCCTGCGACTTTACCCCCAAGGTCGCGCCGATGAAACAAAGTTACGCGAATATTGCACACGCGCACGGTTCCACGCTCCCTCCCGCGAGCCCCCGCCCACGCCCCCTATCTTTTCTCTATCTGGGTCGCTCGTACTCTCTCCCCATTCGCGGACAGATCCGATGGTACGGAGGAGTCGAGAATAGTCGTTGCTAAGCAAGCTCCACCGTGAACCCCGGGGGCTGTGTTCGGGTATTTCAGAGAGGCTGGGTTTACACTGCGGAAACAGGGGCGTTTCGCAAATGTATGAATAGAGCTTTATGAATCAATTGACTAATTACCGGTTTATATGCGCGGTCGACGGAATACTGCGGGTTTTGTTAAAGTAAACCCCGCCGGGACAGGGGCGGTTTGCTCCGTGGTACAGTTTCTAACCTCCAATCGCCCACTCGGAGACGCACGTTAAAGTGGCTCACGGAAATTTTTGTTGAAAATTTAACGGAATATTCTGAAAAGCTTTCGATTGCTACCAACAAATCTCAAGGTTAATGATAAAATTATTGGAAAAGAAGCGTTATAAAAATTTCTTTTTAACGCTAGCCTTATGGAACTCTGTAGCTGATACTGAGAAGTTGATTTCTTATTTAGTTACAAAAAATTATATTTTCATAAAAAATTAGGTGGTTATTAACTTTTTTTAGAGAGATTATAACGATCAAATGAAATTAAAAATTAGGATGAAGGTATGCAAACTTAGGTTTCAATGCGTTTGGTAGTATGTATCTCCTACGGATGTGTGCTATGAGCTTCAACGTCTAAAATTCTTAAAAATTAAAAAGAAAAAAAACAAATTTTTTAAAAGGAGAAAAATTTTGTTTCTTCCACGTATTTGTAAATTTTGTTTCCATTGGTACTTTGAAGTAGTTTAAAATATTATTCATTCAAATTAAATTGGTAAAATTGATAAAAAGTATAAAACGCCATATGGAGCCCCAGGTAGATACAACACCAAACGCGTAAGCTACTTTAAATTTTAAATCAACGACATATGTATGATTCGTTGATCTTTGGCGATGCGTTCTCGAAATTTACGATCGCCTTTTTGATATTTTTATTGTAATGTATGTCGTATTTGATGCAATGAATTTTGTATTTTATCTTTAACCCAGTCAGATTATAGCTAAGGGGAGAAAGAAATGGCTACGGTTCCGAAATGGTCCATCTTTCAATTTTGATGAAACTTGGTAAAATTGCGACAAAAGTATTATTATTATGTATAGATTAATTTTCATATGTATAAAGTAAAACTTTTATATGTACTCATTTGGGAGTATTTGAAAAAATTTTACCAAATTCCGTTAAAATCGAAAGGTGGGCATTTTCAGAACTAGATTCAAAGAAATTCCTACTTTCATTCTTATCTTTATAAATTACTTTATGAAATGTCATTTTACATAAAAATTCGCAGTCTAGTGCTAATAAACTGTATACATATTCATCGGAAACTTCACAAGATGGACGCGAGAAGATGGAGCCGGGTCATTTCTGACTCGTATCGAAATTTCGTTTTAAGGGTTTATCAAAGGTTTTAGCCTGTGTCTTAGCACAAGATGAACACCCTAACTTGTAATATCGAATCAAAACTCATCGTGAAGATTTCACTCTGACATCAATAAACATCAATATTATTCGTTTCCTTTAAGTTGGAGTTAATCACAATTTTGTTGATTTTAATATTTCACTTTTCGAGTAAGTATATGTGCACTTACGATAAAAATAGGATCGCTTTTCTTCTGAAGAAGTATTACATAATAATAAAGTAATAACCATCTACAAAATCATCAAAGAAACCATAAGACGAGGAGTTAAAGTCTGGGTTTTGAGTGACCCACCTTCGTCATACGAAGGATGAAGATCATGTTATATTGACAGTATCGAAACCATCGTGGTGGCTTCGAATTGAACAAGCCAACTAGAAAATGCTCACAAAAACTGTATACATAGTCTGTGATTATTACTTATTGAACTTCGTGAAACGTAATCGAATTTATTGCATTGTAACGTTTATTTCTGTCGAAAATCAATTGACAATTTTTGCTCAGTGCACAGATTTCATTATGAAATTTGACAATTATTATTGGTAAAACTGGGATGTTTTATTAGTTTCAGTTATGTATAGTAAAATCGCAGACATAACTTCCATCAAATTTAATAAGGCGATTCCTAAGAGACGAAAGGAATTAATTTTTTTTATTCCTGTCTACAAATTACTTATAAATTGCTATTTTGCATAAAGATTCGCAGTCTATTCTCATCATATTTTTGCCATCTACGGTGAAAGTTATTTATGATACAATTCAATGCAACATTCAAATATGTACTACAAAATTTAAGAAAGTATCATACACTGGAAGATTGTCATTGATTTACGAATGTTCTTACTATTTCTATTTATAGACGATCATCGATAAATAAATCGTCTTATACAACGTTAAAGTTATCATTGTAATAAAAATATTAATAAACTACTTCGGATCTGATCTCAACAATGCTATGACAGGCTGTATAAGCAAGGTTACACGCACAATATTGGGAACACGTTACACACCAAAAAAGCAACATTTTGTGAGAGTGATTTCGTTGATACACAGACGTTCACAGTACACATTTAAATGTTTGAAGTGTTTGCATTGTTTTAAATAGGGAAGTGAAATAGTTCAGCAAAATACGCAGCGGCGACAATGGTACTCAATGACGGCGGTCGCCTCCAGCGTTCTGCCGCTTAGCGTAACGGAAGCGCTAGGCGCGCATGCTGAACCATTTCGCTTCCCTATTTAAAACAAAAGAGATTTTGTAACTTTCCTTGACACTTTCCTGATGAGAAAGATCTGCTCTACCGCGTCCTATGGTTAGATTTTCTCCTAGACCTTTAGTTTTTGAAATAGATTAAAGAATATCAGCTAAAAGTGGTGCATTTTTGGTGTGCTTTTCACTTTGAACATTATTTAAACATATTTAGATGTCTATAATCTAATAACAATTTACATCATTTTGTTCGCAAGAGTCCAGAGAATTAATTTGTGTAAAAAGAAACTGAATAACTATTACTGTAAAAGCACAACACAGCTCGAAAGTTGACAATTTGCAATTTTTTTCAATTTCATTTTTCAAAAACTGTACCTGATGGAAACAAACGGTTTGCAGATTGGTATTTAGCCCATAAAGATCTATTAGAAACGCTTATTGATAATTGCAAAAAAATTTAGGTATTAAACAGTGTAATCGATGTTCTACTGTAATCCACAAGTGAATATACCAGTGGCGATCATCGGTGATATGAGTCCATTGTCAAATTCGTTCGAGGTGTATTTAAATGGAAATAACTGAACAGCAGTTTCTTTTTTAAACTTCTTATACATTGTGCAATTCTAAATATAGCCCGGTGAGAACCATGACGTTTTTATCAGATTTTATGAAACTCGACAAGAATTTGTATAAATGGAATGTTAAAAACACGGCCTTTGGATGGAAAGTTGGGCAAA